TCAACACCGAAACCACCTGACCAAACTGCCCGGGGGTTAGTGCTCATACTAGCAAACCTCTGAGTTTGAGACACACAACAGGTTACACTAATGAATTCTGCAGGAGTGGCGAGACAGGAGCAAGGAAACCTCTGCATCTAAGGTCAAGGTACCTTTTCCCCTCTGGAACAGCAACCCCAACAGGTTTCCCTACTCTTTTCTTTCCAGAAGAGTTTTAAAACACACACAGCGCATGATCTGACACGAAGAAGTGGAGCATTAGAGATTAACGCGGTATGAACACGCACATCGCCACTGACTAATATTCTAAATTAGAAAGCCTTCATTTCACAAAACTCGATGCATTTCTCTTCCTAAATTGTTATTAGGAGAGCAATTACTACGAAAGGTTTTTGTGGTAAATATTTACAAGCACAGAGAATGACAGGAATTATTTGTAATGGTCTTGGATCTTATTTTTATTCAATTTTCATTAGAGCTAGATTTATATATGCCTCCTTAGAAATATACACACATAAATATATATAATGGATATATTATTAAAATATATGTATATTTATTAAATCAAAAGCTTTTTGCATTCTAAATTAGAACTTCATGCCACTAATGTGTGGGGCTAGGGAGAAAAAAAAAAAAAAAAAGCTTTGTCGTTATCAATCGTTTTGTTTTTGAAGTTTTTCCAAATGACTTATCTACAACCCTGCTCCCCTGTTATCGCAAAGGGAAGAACTCAAGCACCACAAATTAAGAAAATATGCTGATTAATATACTGATAATCATTCGCACTGAGGAATTAAAAGGCAAATATTTTAATGCATAACAACTAGCAGCTTGCAACAGTGCTAGGCATTCACACACACATTATGAATTCTAGCTAGGACGTAAAAAGCTGCCACCAAAACCCAGCATCAAGCAGCATGTATTTAAGTTTCAGTCAAAGTCTCTGTAAACCTGCACGTGGCAGCGATGCCAGGGTGGGTGGTGGCTAATCTAAACCCGTCTTGAGCAGACTAAGCCCAGAACGTTACCAAAGGAGCTCAGCTAACGTACTGGAGCTTTAACACTGCTCCACAGGAGTGAGGTATAAACGGGGAGAGAGGGGTTGTACAACTGCTGGGTCACAGCAAACAAATAATGTGTTTGCAAAAACCCCAAAGGGACATCCCTGGAAATGTGAGCTGGAGAGAGCAAACAGACATTGCGAAGGAAACAGCTATTAATCTGTTTTGCTTGTTTGCTCTTTAAAATAGAAAAGAGGAAATATTATATAAATTCAGCTCTGTTTAGAAGTGCCGTAGCTCTGGTGCACAGGTTTGCACAGGTTTGCTCCTGCCATAAGAAAGAGCAAACCAGAAGAACAGACCAGACAATCAGCTTTATGTATATTTCTAAAGAAGGAACTATTTTATAGATGTTGCAAGATTGACCTAGGATGTTTTAAAAAATAATTAGCTAGTTATATGTTATGATTAATATTTTAATTAGTGTTTCAAAACCATATGCGAGACATTTCATTGTTAATTTCACTTCTGAAGTGTAACAAGAAGTAGCATTGCAAAAAATGTACTTATGACAACGGAAAAGTCACTTATCTTCTATAACCTATTCAAGTAATTTTTCGCTTAATGTCTTTAGCTGCAGGCAATCTTCTGAATACAAGAAATTAAAACACTGAAATGTATTTCCCAGATTATTTACTGTCACTTTGGATAAGATGAAGCTACCACAATCATTCCACTGTACCTACATCAGCACTGTTTCCATATACTGGAAAAGTAGTCAAATATTCACACTGTGTCAAATACAATAATTAAAAGAGAAATAGAGAAGCCACAATCTCCTGAAGTGTTTATCCATGTTCGTTACACAACTGGTGGCTCCCAAGCATCCACCTAAAAAAGATGGAAGACTATTTTGGACACAAGATGAAAAAAAGTTTGTATCTTACCTTTCCAAATGATCCCTGACCAAGAACCTTAAGTAATTCAAACTGTGCTGGATCTGCTTTCTCACATCCTTCTTTCACATGATGGGTAATAGGAATTTCTTTCACACTTCCCTCATCCTATTAGGATTATTTTAAAAGAGGAGAAAAAAAAAAAAGAGAGAGTCCCATATTAATCCTCTTACACATTTTTTATTCTTTTAAATAAAATACCTGAAATGGTAGTGAAGCCTCCAAAAAGCTGTACAAACTAAAACCATTTTCCATGCTTCGAAATAGCTGCATGTCTAAAAATTCAAAACTGAATTCAAAGTCTCATCCAGCTGAATAAAGCTCACTTCCTTTTGCTATAAATCCCACAACTAAAAAAAGGCATGAGTTTTCTTGTATGAAAGGAATAAACTCAGATTTTAAAACTAAGCCCCAGATACTCTTTCATGCTCCACCTTTATTTCACGTGCCTTCAGTTTTCCCAGTGACAGCTTTCCTCATCTTTCCCTTCCTCAAACTATTCTTAATGAAAGCTTAACCAAATTTCGTCATTTTAATTAATTATTGCTTTTGACAGCAGCAAGTAATAAATATGGTCATTCGCTGTTGTAGCTAAAGGAACGTGCATCATGTGAAGATACGTGAGTCATCTTAAGAACCTCAAGATTTCCTTCATCTGAGTTACAGCACTCAGGGAAGGATGATCCAGTTCAAAGCCCTTCTTCATGAAGGACAGTGCTATGCTAAGGCAAGAAAGATTTAGGGTTCTGCTGATTTTTGCCTGTGACTCTTGCAAGATGGGGCACAGCAGCTATTATGAAAACACAAACATCCATGATGAAAACAAATTAGACCATATATTGCAGCTCTATTAAATTTATGGTGTATGAAAGAAGCTTCTGGTAAGCAAAATAACCAAGATGTTGAAACAAGAATCCTTACATGTTAAGGCCAACAACGTCAACCTAAGCTTGAATGGGGGACGGGAAGGTAATCCTTCTGCCTTACCGAAAACATCAATTTCTAATCCAACGACATCTGAAAATTCTGCCCAATTTGCACTACCTTCCATGTCTTTAGGGAATCCAGGTCAGCACTAACTGTCTTCTCCTTAGCTCTTCACCTTAAGTGCTTTCATTCAGGAAAAAAATAGCTGACACACTAACGATACATGGTCTACATTCCGGTTTAATTTCACCTCCCTATGTTATATGCAAGACACCTATCTCCTCTTTTTTTTTTTTTTTTTTAAACTTGGAAGACAGGTGAAAGTACTAGCATTGCAAGTTACTTGGTGACAGACAGCAGAAACTCCCCTCTTACACACCGAGTTGTACTATAATCTTATCTGTAGAAAAAGGTGAATACTCTATTGAGCGGTCTTTTTACTTGAATATTTTAATTTACATTCTTTAACACTGTGCACCTCTGCATGAGAGGAGATCTTTAAGAGTTATCTGCTCTCTTGTTTATCACCCACCTTGAATCATTAGCCTGTGACATCACATCTGGTTGCTGTGGAGACTGATAGAGTATTTCTAAATGTGAACTCAGGAGAAAAGTGTTTTCCATGCTAATAAAGAATAACTTGAGATATGTATTAAATGAGGGTTTTTTATAATAACTTTTAGCTTTATAAAAGATGTTTATGTAACTGCACTGACTTAACTACCATTAAAGTGCTTGAAATTGCCATGACTGAAGTATAAAAAGATGTCAGGATCATCAACAAGGAATGAACAGGAAGAGCTGAATGGAGATATAAATATAGTGTGTATATGTGTATATATATAGTGAGCTTCATTTTTATTTCTTGTTGAGCTTCCAAGAATTCCAAGTTTGGATACCTGTTGGGCAGCAGCTCTTTTCCAGGGCTCAGGTAAAAGCTCTCAACAAGTTGCCTTGCAAAAGAGGCACCTTTTTCCCAGCAGGTTAAGCCAAGGGAGCACTGGGAAAAATGCCACAATTGGTTTGGGCTTTTTGCCATCTTTCTAAGTTTCAACTTGACTGGTTTATCCATCCTAGCACCCGACAAACTCTGCAACAACCTTTTGGCTCGGGCACAGTGAAAGACCGATACGCAACCCGTTGCTCATCTTTAATCTGCAATCACACTAATGAGCCACTAATGTCAGCACATATCAAGGGTACTTACATGGTAGGAATATGGTTCGCCTTCTTCCATAGGCTCATCTGCCATTTTAAGGCCATTCAGCTGGAGAAGGGAATGCAGAAGAGAAAAAAAAAAAAAAAAAGAAAAACAGCAACCTTCAGGCCAGTTTCAAACAGGTGCAAAAGTTCATCATTTGATAGAAATACATTATAAAGCACATAAATGAAATAAAGGAGTTTTGCTGTTCTATTTTTAAAATTTCAGTTTCAAACAACAACAAAATACTACTTCACTTGATACACCCCTTTGCAAAGGCTGTTCCGTGGTGTTACTTAATTTGAATTAATTTAAAATACTTCCTCTAGGAGCTACAGGTACAATTCATAAAGGAAGTCACTAACATAAATGCTTCATTTACAAAGTCAATGTTGCAGACGTCTCTGAAAACCTAAATTCTGCTGTTGAAAATTAATTTGAAGTTTAAGGAGAAAAGATTCTAGGGTGAGGCGGGGAGAAGTACAAGGGAAGGAGAACACATACAGCCCAGAGTACTCTGTATATAAGAAAGCATTTAGGAATGAGTTACCCATTTCCTTTGAGTATTATTTGCACCTGGACAGAAGCAAACACATGCCACCTTCTTAATTAAGAATACCACTTACCAACTCACAAGCAGTTGCCTTTCCCACCCCCACTTCAATCAAGAGTAAAAAAGATAAAGCCAAAGTCAGATTTTTTTAAAAAAAAAATCTTAATTTATAAAGGTAAATTCAATCTCTCCTTACATAATAATTCAATGCAGTCTAACAATTGAGACTTTAAACATACAGAAATGAAAAGGTCATGTTCTGTTTCAACATGCTAAGTATTAATTAAAACTGGAAATATCTGATAAAATGGGTGAAGGCAATTAAGGATTTTACCAGAGATAACTGCTAATTTATTTATATGTCAACTGCTCAGTAGCTCTACCTTCATGTGGCACAGAACCCTACAAGAAAATATTATATAAAAATACCATGAGGAAAAGAAAAAAAAGTTATTTGAGCTTCCTCAAAATTACACAGAAGTTCAAGCAAGAAGTTCTGTAATCAGGTAATAACATTGCTTCCTTTGACTCAAAACACACGGACAGTCTAACATATTCAAAGATGGAATGTGATGATTATCAGTATGCAGACCGGTAAAACACGGGACTATAAAGAATCCTGAAAGGCCACACAGGCCCTATTAAAAAAATAAGTAAGTAAAAGCACCACCACCACACACACACACTTGACAAACTGGTAGGGCAGTAGGGACAGGTTTAGGACACAGTGATTGCATCACCCAGGCAAAACCTCTACCACCTGCTCTGCTTCTTCTGAAAGAACTCTTGATTTCAAATAAATCTGGAGAGCTCAAGTCTTAGATTAATAAACTTATTTTAAAAAAGTAAAACTACAGCTCCAAGTTTTATCAAGACACTAGCGCTTATTTTTGGACTATTACTTAATTTGAAAAAACAGAAAGCAGTACAGCATTGGATTGCTTTCACTGCTTTAAGTTTTTATTTATTCCTTACTTTCTCAAGCCCCTCCAGTCATTAGCCCATTAACAAAGGTTTTGAAACTTCACATACGCTACTGAAACCAATATACTACATTGAGGCTTTTTCAACAAAGCTTTGCCAAATTAGATACCTGAAAGGGGAGAAAAACGTACAGTTATGCTTGGGGTTGTATCAACTAACTCAAAGCATCAAGTCATTATAACCCCAAAGCTCAGACCAAACAAACTCCAACCTCATTTCCAACAGCTCACTGCCACATGGATCTCTTCCACAATATTCCTAGATGACATCCAGGTGAGAATCAATGCAGAGACCACCAAAGTTAGTTCATAAAACCTGCCTGGAACTGGTAAGGAAAAGCCTTTCCACTCTGGATGGTCAGAAACAGCATACAGTTCTTCTCTCATAGACTTCACCAGACACACACAGCAATAATTTGAACTCAATGTTTATTTTTTTCTCTTTCAAATATAGTCAACATACTCCAATCTTTATTATTTAAAGTTAAGACCTTAAAGCTATATACACCAGCCAGTAGAACTGCAAATACACTGAAAACAGTAGTTTAACTGCAGGCAGTCGGATACAGAAAGCTGTCGCTGCCTGAATGGGATTTTGACCCAAAGCCCAGCACGTTATTTGATCTACCCACTTTCCCAGCGCACAATACACGCACACTTTTAGCTTTCTAGTGATTCACATATAGTAAATATTGGATTTTTTTTTATGGCAGGTAATCAAATGTTATCTTAATTAGCAATTTCCTATCATATACTTTTCCCCTTCAATAATGCCTTTTTTTTTTTTTTTTTTTTTTTTACTGTCCAGTTTTTCCACAATAACAAAACTGGGATGTCTGCCAACTTTTGGCCCAATAAATTTTGTATTCAAGTGTGTAAATCTACTTTTATCTTCTGTCATGTGAGACTATACTTTAGCTCATTGATTTGTGAACCCTAATTGCCATTTGCTAAATAAATCATCGAACTGAAAGCCAAAATCTAGTAGTTCTAAAGAAACCACAAACTTGTTAATTATTCAGTTAAAAAATGTCAATTTCAAAAATCAAGTCATTATATTTTTTATAGTTACTTATATTGGCTAGGTTTTAGTAACTGAAAGTGTCCATTCATATATTACACAACATCAAAATTCTTATTCAAATTCTACCTTTATTGAAAGCAAATACAGAATTGTGCTTCTGCAGATGATCAGAACCCCTTTTAGGGATTTATTCAAACATTTAAGCACAAATATATATTTAGAACAAAACCATTTTAAACTCTAAGTAATATCTCACTAGATATCTACGAACACACAAATTAAATTTATCTTTGAGAATTAGATAACACACACACATTTCTTTACAGAAAGCAGGTGAAAGAAGGTGAGTACCATTATTCTGAAAGATTTTTTCATCCTCAAACCACCTAGTTGTTCAATACTTCCAATACTTAAAGTTTTCAGTTCATAGTAAAAGTTCAGTAAAACCGAGACATTTAGAAAAGTGGTATCAACATTTTCCAAATAAAATGTGGGGAAGGTAATATTCCACACTGTTGATCAGTACAAATTAGCAGAAAATACTAAATAAAATATGCAAGAATAGAAGCTAAAAGGCAAAGACAAACCAGCAAGCATACGAACAAAACCCCTTACTTTTCCACAGGTGCCGGTGAAAAGACCCAGTCCTTCAGTGCCCAACTGCCTCTGAGGTTACAGGGTGCAACCTGCCTTCTAATTTAAACTTGCTGCTGTGGCTGCAATGGATCCCACGACTGGCTGAGATTCTACCATATTACCTTGGGCATGTTTTTCCCTCTAATGACAAAACAGAGGAATCCCAGTATTACTAAAGATTAGAGGCTCCTTTTTTTAAATAAAACATTAAGGATGTTTCAATTGTTTACTTGGTAAATGCCTCATTGTTCAGTGGGTCAAAGGAGATGAGGCAAACGGTCAGCCAAATGCCCAATCACAAGGAAAAACAGCAAAGGTCTTAAGAGTCATTCATTATTAGAAACTCCAATTATTTTGATAAGACTTAGAGAAACTACTTTGAAAAAAATAATCATTAGAAAAATTCAAGTTGTTCCTCATTTGTTTCAAGCTGTATCTGTAGAGAGTTTGCATTATTAATTCAGTTAGCAGTATATCAGCCTACTCAATCTTATTTCCTCATATTTGCTTGAGAAAGTTTTGTTTTCTGTGCACAAACAGGCGAGGGCATTTATTATTTTTAAACAATGCCTACAAGTTGCTGTAAGCATAACTGAAGCTTAAAGGAATTTGTTCTTGTTATAAAATACCCATGATCTCATACAACAGATAATTCTTTTGAACTATAGCTACTGTTACTGCACACAGGTGCCCGAGTTGGTCCAACGCTGGATTACCTGGGCCAGGCTGCTTTCAGGAAGGAACAATCTCACATAGCACAACCCGAGGTGAGCGATAAAGCAGTGTTCTTAGGGTGACAAGACACTGCGATCTATCAACTAAAGCTGGGGTTGAAAGGGACCTCTGGAGATCACCTAACTCAGCCCCCCTGCTCAAGCAGGGTCACGGAGCACAGGCTCCCAGCACCCTGTGCTGGGACAGACAGACAAAACTGTCTGGACAGGGTTTGAGCATCTCCAAGGATGGAGACTCCTCAGCCTCGCTGGGCAACCTGCTCCAGTGCTCTGAAGCCTTTGCAATAAAGACATTTTCCACTTGTGTTCAAAAGGGCAGTTAGATCCCTTCCATCATCAGAGATTAAGGGAGAGCTGCACACATCTCACAGTAGTTAGAGCTGTAAGAAGACATAAAGCTAGCCATAAACACTGAGATCACCGAGTTAATAAAGGACTTGATTTCTCTTTTTCCCCCTCCGCTACTCACAATCTGGGAGCAAACTGTGGTTCCATAACATAAGTGTATAAAACAGCACTCCAGAGAGCGGGTTTAATGGCATTTACAAGCATATTGGAAAAGAGTAAGATTCAAAATTTATAAAAACAGTGTATTTCAAGATTCATTCTTAACGTAATGAAGAATTACATCCATGTGAACAGTGAACATCTACGTACTGTGAGCTGATAAATCATAACAAGCTTCTACTTAGAGTTACTGTGAAGTTTCTCTGGAGCTTTCCTGCAGGCACTCAGGTTGGCTATGACAAACAGACCTGTCACTGTCAGTCCTTTTAGAGATTCAGATCTCCACAGCAGATTTCTGAAACCACCTTCAAAACCAGCATGCCAAAACGCAACTATTATTACATTGCAGCACTTTTCAGTGCATAAAGACACTCATTGTTTTCTGTTTAAGAGTATTAATGTGCTTATTTTTTTCGTCTTTTAAGAGAGCTGTTTTTCATAAGTCTTTATGAAACCTGCACGTTGTTGCAATAGCTGAGGGCACTTAATTCTCAAGTTACATGCAACTACTATTACTTGTTTTTTTGCAACACAACAGCACCTAACTGAGGGATGTTCAGAGATAAAAAAAAAAAAAAGGAAAAAAAAAAGGTAGCTGAGTCATTCACGTCACTGCCAGCAATTACT